CCAACATTCTGGAAATAGGGTGCAGTTTCTGTCAACTAAAGCATAAGCATGTCACTTACTATGTACATCATTGCCTAGGTGTAACTTGATTTTTTGCATTAAATTACCAGTCCACCATTAAAGATTGATGCTTCAAAAGTACTTCACTGAAGCATAAAAAGAATGATGAAACTACTAACATAAATACTACAATAAAAAACAATTTATAAATGAAAATAATTAATAGGATTTGTGTGCACGTACAGATTATAAATCTAAATGCACTGCAATGAGTGAATCTGTGAGCCACATGCATTCTCACAAGCACACTCCCCTGCCTCGTGTGCCTCTCCTGCTTTCTAGATGAATGCCATATCACATGGCATGGGAGGTTTTATTGGGAAAGGTCAAACCTTCAAGGCCAGGATTGGCATGAAGAGAAGGTACTACTCTTCCCCCATATGTCCCATCATTCATGGAGAGAGCAGGACCTTGGGCTGAGGCCCAAGTGATCTGTTATTTTGCTTTTTATAGGACAAGTTTTAAAGAAGTTTTGTCAACAGGGGACTCTACAGGCTGTTTGGCATCCAAAGGTTAGAAATGGGGAGCCAGGAGTTTGTTTATACAAGCTGTCTGAGACAGACAGCTGTTTAGGACATAGGTGACACAGGCTCATGGGTAACTACAATTCTCCCCTTCTTGTTGTCATCAATCTTGAGAGTAGTTGAACTTGGGTACAGCTTCTTCAGGTAGAGAATGGGTGAGGGTGGGGTGAAGTCCTACCTAAATAATTGAGATTTCTTATAGACAATACTGCTCACTTCAGAACAACTAAGTGGTGGACAACGATGGTGTGGAGTAAGCTATGCTTAGTCTTCTGTGTTAAAGTGTTCTGGAGTTAATTTTTGTTGATATCAGTCAAGATACCAGCAGGAAACAGATGGCAAAAGGTGGGAACTGAGGAAAGTTTAGTAAAGGAGCTATTTATAAACATGTGGGCAGAAGACATAAGGGAAGACAGCAAGGGATGTGGAAGAATCCTGGGGCTGGCAGCAGGAGGGAAGCATCACTTCTCCTAGGCCTGAAGGGGCAAGGGGAGCTGGTTACCGAAACCCAGAGAGAGCTGTAGCTTTGGAGAAGTTAAGACATGGGATGTGGTCTTAATGTCCTTTGTTGTAGGAACCTACTACCTCCAACCTACAATCCTACAGGGAGGAAACAGAAGATAATAGATGACCCTCACCTCACTCTTTTCCCCTCTAACCTTCTGCTAGTGTTTCCACTGGCCAAACTGAACCACAAGTCAGAGGGCAAAGAATGTAATAAATCCAGCTATTGGAATCCATAATGGTCAGGCTTCCAAGGTACAAGGCCAACTGAAGAAGGAAGAGAGAAGATATGAAGGGCAAACAGAGAGTGTCCACACTGCAAGGAAGACAGAGCCCAGTGGCAGCCCTTGTGGGGACAGCTTGAGGAGAGCAAAGAAAGTAAGGGCATGCAATGGTTTAAAAAGAGATAGGAGTAAGATCCTACTTTTTCAATAAATTGAGCAGGGAGAAAAAGAACAAATTATAAAACTATCTCAAAGAGGTCTCTGGATTAAGAAAAGAGAGTATTTTCTGATTTGGGAAAGAGACTGGAGTTTTCATTTGAAGAGCATAAGGGTCTGTGAAGGGAGTAATCGGAGAAAGAGAGAATAACAGACATGGTTGCTATGGAGAGTATTTGTCTACTTTGAAAACAAGTTGCAGGTAATGAGCAATGTCAAAATTGTACTAACTGTTTATTGGAAATCATTACTCCTCCATAGTCAATCTTAGAATGCATACTACTATAATAGGTTTACTATGCTGTCTCCTAAACGTGTTTTATTAGACTTTAAAATGTTCTCACATATGACTTGAACAGATTAAGGCTTTGATCGAAACGAGGAGACCAGATTTGAGGATTAGGTAAAGGTTAAGAAAATTAAATATATTTCAAAATTGATTAGCTTTTGGAATTCTTTCTTGGCTAAAACTAAATATGTAACAGAGAATGAAGGCAATTACAAATTAAAATTCATTTTATACTCTTTTTCTTTCTAAATCTAACAATTTTAATGTATTCAAGGCTAATATATAATGTGTTATCTAAATTCCATCTACAGAACTTTGTGGTGTCTCAGAACCATATAGAACAAATTGGAATTTTTCCAGGCTGATCCACTTAAGACTATGACAGGTGTTAATAGATTGAAGACCTTGGGAATCACATTGTTTGAACTACTAATATGTCATTAATCACATATGTGTTATTTCATTTCTTGTTAAGAACTTCATTCATACCTAAAATGAGCCAATACCACAGGCACCATGAAAAGTGGAGTAGACATGTTTTCCCACACTAAGAAGACAGCAAGCATTTCACTGTCAGTGCTTACTGCCATATATTGCCACACTAGACCATCAACATCCATCATAGCATTATCTAGTCCTTTCCTAAATGTTTCTTGGGTATTTAAAAGTATGGTTTCTTTTAAATATTCAATACTTGAATTGGCAAAATTATGAAAACGCCTCTCATCAAGAAAATCTCATTCTATTTATAACATGGGCTCCGCTCAGGTTTATAGGTATATGGATGAGAATACTTTTATGAGAACTGGGGCCAGTCCAACCGATCAAAATAACGGTATCAAGCTATCCCATATTTCACTGTGATGTGGTAAAAGTCAAAGGTCTTTTCAAACAATAATTGTAAACTACAAGACCCATATGTTTCCTTTTCTCTTCCATTCTATAACAATAAGATAAAAAATGGACTTTTGCAGCCTTTGGTTAGAAGCCTTTATCTTCAAAAGAGACCTGAGAAGGAAGACTTAACTGACCTTTCCATGTAAGAAAGCACATCACCTACTGAGATTTGTCTTCCTTGTGGGCACCTCCCTACAAAAGAAGTAGGAGGCTAAAATAAGCTTTAACATGTGCAGATTAAAAGTAACCTTCAGGCAAATGGGTTTTCAACACCACTCCTTACTGGGCAAAAAATTTTGTGTCCCATAAAATTAAATTACCTCCTTGGAAATGACTTCTCCAATAAATTACACCATTAAATATAGTAAAAATGGAATTCCTACAAAACAATTTTCCCCTCTCTGAGGGAACTCTCCCATCTCTGTGAAAATTGATTCCACCTTAAATGGAGTATCCATCTTGTCTAAAAATGGGGGCATACAGAACCTAAAAACTGTCAAAGAAATAGCAGGACGATTAAAGGCCAGAAAAAGTAATCAGGTCTTTGAGGAAACTAGAGAAAGTTTACAGAAATCAATGCCTTATCACTTTACCAAATGCTAAATTTAAAGAACATGGAGAGCTGTCACCTAGCAGAAGGTGACTTGTTATTTTCAATTTCTTTGAAGTCGCTATCTGAAGGAAACAATCAAATTATTAAACATTGTCATGAGTTTGCGAGGTGGTAGCTCTTGTATTAACTCCAGCAATCACTATAAATTGACTATATTTTCACTAATTGAGGAAGTTCTAATGTAGTCCTTTTTAAATGAGGTTGGAAGTCACAAACACAATGTTGAATGACTACCCTGTATTAAGAACTAAACCAGTTTCTTTAGGGATGAAAATATCAAGACACTACAATCCACTTTAAAGATTGGCCAAACATACACAGAACGAGAGAATTCATGAACACGTATTGATAGTACAAGTTGTGTGCATAATTTGAACTGTGAGGCAATTGGGCACAATTCTCATGAGGCTATATGAGGCTCAAGTGTTCAGTTTGACCTAAAAGGTAATGGGCAAATATAAGAGGTCCATGATGAGATATCCTAGCAGTTATGCACAGCGTGGACTAAAGTCAGAAGAAATATAACACAAACTAACTGTAATACTAATAATACCTACCACAGGTGGCAGACGCTGTTCTAAACATTCTCATGTATTAACGTGTTAAATCCTCACAGTAAGGCTAGGAAGCAAGCACTGTTAATCTCTTTTTACAGATGGGGAAACCAAAGCATTTAAAAAAGAATGTCTAATTTTTACAAGAAACTTTCTGCATAGCAACCCCCCATGCAGGTAAATACAGAGTGAATTTTTAAAAAAAAGTTTGTATTTATTTTTGAGAGCGAGCGAGCGAGCGAGCGCGGGGTGGGGGGTGGGGGGGACGGGCGGGGGAGGGGCAGACAGAGAGGGAGACACAGAATCTGAAACAGGCTCCAAGCTGTCAGCACTGAGCCCCATGTAGGACTCCAACACGTGAACTGTGAGATCATGACCTGAGCCAGAAGTCAGAGGCTTAACTGACTGACCCATCCAGGCGCCCCAAGGTGAATTTTCAAAGCAGGTATTGTCATCCAGAGAAGAATACGAATACTGCCGTTAAATATATTATTTATAAATACTTTTATCATAGAAAACTTTAAATGTATCTAAAATAGAAAAAATAGTGTAATGAGCACCCTCCTCCACAAACCCAGTCTTGATTCATCTACTATACTTCCACTCAACGACCCAAACCCCTCCCTCCTCATTATTTTGCAGTAAATGCATACATTCTATCATCCCATCAACATTAAATCTTTCAATATGTATCTCTAAAAGGACACTTCCTTCTTCTTCTAAACATGACAATAACACCTTAAAATTACAGTGATGTCTTAATCTCAGATACTAATCAATGATTAAGTTCCAATAAGATATCTCACTTCAATATTTATTGAGCACTTGCTATGTTAGCATAGATACTGCCATTTAAATTGCCTTCCCTCCCCCTCTCCCCTCGATTTCTCTCTTACTAAAAGGAAGGAGCCTGTCTCTACCCGATGATTCAAAGCCCTGCTGTTGTGCCTTTGGGGACACTTCGCAGAGCAGCCCCGCCGCCGCCGGGACCCTGAGTCTCCGGCTACCTCGGCCCCGCCCCTGCCCTTCCCCGAGGGGCCCTAGGACCGGCCCGGAAGCCGCTTCGCGGAGGGATCAGTTCTGCAACCCCACACCCCGGCCCCGCCCCGGTTGCCTAGGCGACCAAAGGCCGCAACTGAGGCGAGTTAATGACGACGTCTTTGGGGACCACTCCCGGGGGAACCACCCCCGCGGCGACGACCCCGGCGGGAACCACACCGGAGTTGGAGGTACGCAGCCCCTTCCCCGCATCCGCGACCCCCGAGCGCATGCCCCGGGCCGCCGGGGTCCGCAGCAGAGGTGGGTCCCCAGGGAGGAGCCCAGCGCCGGGGTTGGGAGCGCGGCGCCGACTGAGGTCGGGTTGAGAAACCGCCCAGGCGGGCGTCGGGGCGGCGCCGGAGTCCCCGAGACAGGTGGGGGTCACTGAGGCACCGCCCCGCGCTCCCCGAGCCCTGCCGCCCACCTCGCGAGGGGCCCTCGGCTAGAAACTGTAGAAATTCCTCCCCTGGACTGTTTCGGGTCCCGGCGACCTCTCGACGGCGCGCTCCTCTCCGATTTTCACTTGAATGGGCCAGTCCGTTTTGGAAAGTGCTACTCATTTTTTTTTTTTTGCAATGATCACTGTTTTTATTGTTCAAAGATGTCATGGAATAATAACTCTTCATTGTTAGTAGGTTGATTAATATTTGAAGGCCAGGGCTTGGTGTCTCCCTGTTTATTTCACCACTTCTCTAAATAAAGACATACATGATAGGGCAAAGGAGGGGCGCTGGAAAATCGACCTCCTGGTTATAACTTGGTTGCGTATCATCAGCTTGTTGTTAGGAAAGTAATTTAACTTCCTTAGTGGTTTCCTGTGTAAAAAAAAAAAAAAAAAAAAAAAAAAGATTTATCTTTAGACCCCTCCCAACACCAACTCTCAATAATAAATGGGTTTTAGGCAACTTTAATTACTCATAAGCTTAGAATCCTATGATTTTAATTAAAGACATATCTGCTATGCCAGATATTGCTTAAAAAAAAATGTTTAAATCTTCACACACTGAGCCCATCATGTTGTTCTATGAAGTTCTGTCTTCAGTGTTTTTAGGACTGAAGGTGCATAATAATGTTATAATTAACACTGCTATGCTCAACTCTCTTATTCGTCTAAATAACATTTTTTGTGTGTTTGCAGAAGATAAGTATTAGCTGCTATTTTATAAATGAAGAAAAACAGAGCCAGTAATTTAGTGCCTTGCCTCGGAGATATATACAAGTTGTTCCCAATCAAGATTCTTCTGAATACCATATGCAGACCACTAAAGCATGCTGGCTCTCCTATGAGCCTTTTGAAATTAGCATATATTAAAAACACATTTTAATGTGATAAACTGGTTACTAAGCTAGTTACTCCCTTGTGATCTCTAATGTAAGTAATACAGTTTCAAAAGTGGCAGAGGAAATTTCCCAATTAAATTGTGTTACTTAAATATATACAAAAACTTACTTGTGAAAATGCTCATTTGGCGTTGTACACTTCCATATACTTATTTATCCATGTAGATAATATCCTTTCCAAGAAGACTGATAATTTGGAGTTAATGAATCTGCACTTTAAAAAAGAAATCTTTTTTAAAGATGCAAAGAAGTGCGATACTCCATGGGAAAAAAAAATCACTTTTTTTTTTTTTTGGTTAGATCAGACGAATGAGTTAGTTATAGACCTTAGATGATTATCTGCCATGTTAGCACTGTCAGTGGGCTCATTTGTTAACTCCCTGGAGGAGCAGGTTTCCTCGTAACAAGCAATTCAGAAAATGCTCAGTCTTTTAGTTAGTAACAGACTGAAGAAATCAAGATGGAATATGGACTCACTTATCTGTACTCACTTAGCCTGTACTGACATGAACAGCCATATGATATGCTGCATGGTAGGAATGCCCTTTTCCATTCTATTGATTTTTTTTTTAATGTTTTTTATTTTATTTCTAGGAGAGAGAGACAGCATGAGCAGGGGAGGGTCAGAGAGAGAGGGAGTCACAGACTGAAACAGGCTCCAGGCTCTGAGCTGTCAGCACAGAGCCCGACGCGGGGCTCGAACCCACGAACCGCGAGATCATGACCTAAGCGAAAGTCGGAAGCTTAACCGACTAAGCCACCCAGGCGCCCCAACCATTCTGTTGAAAGCAGAGTTCCTGTAGGTTACCGAGAAGCCACTTGATCCATAGAGCTAGCATTCATTCAAATGACAAGGGCTGCCTATAGTCTACTGGTGCCCACACTGGGTTTTAGGGGGTAGTGGAAAAGATGGCAAAGACACCTCTCTCAGAGTCTGTTCCCAAGGCTACTGCTTTTCAGTTAGATACTGAAAGGTTCTATTCAGTTCAGATTCTTTCAAGTTGATCCCGCAAGACCTAGTTCCTTGTGGTGTCATTTCTAACACATTCTGTATCCAAATTGGCTCAGCCAGTAGACCATCTAAGTCATCTGAGCCAAAGAGTAGTGAAATATTTCCTTTATTGCCAAGTCAGTCAGAAATAAAGCATAAGCTTCCAGTAGTCCGAGGTTTCCAGACTTATGTGTTGTCAGTACCTAGAATAAAAACAACCAGTTATCCCAGTCACATAGTAGGCACTCAGTAAAACATGATAACTAATTAAAGTCACGGGTGGTCTGACATATGCCAAGGAAGATAGTTATCATAGTCCAAAATCTATTGAGATGCTGTGAACAAGCAGACATGAGATGAAGGTCCAGGAATTTTTTTTTTTCTCTAACACTCCATAAACTCTTTTTGACAACTTTTTGAATTCAACATTCCAGTTTCTTTAGTAAAATGGGAGTAAACGCCCCCCTCTAGAAGGTAAGACTAAATGTTTGGGAGATAACTGTATAAATGCATAAGACCAGACAAAAATGAGGAAAACCTGAAAATGTTTGCTATGTATAGACTTTTAAAAATGCTGTTTAGGAAATAGAATCATTTAAGTAGTATATACATAAAAGCACTATACTTTAACTCACATTGGAGACCTAAAAGAAAACATAAATGATTATTGCCCTATTGCTTCTTCTGAATGATGTCTCTTAGTGTTACCCCATTCCTAATGGATGACATTTACTCAGTGCCTTCGAGACTTTATCTCACTTACTGGCATAGGGGAATTACATAATCTTGAGTGGAAAGACGGTGTTACTTGTCTTGAAGATCTTCAGCATGTCCAGGAGGGGGCCCTAGACAATTCTCTCTACATTAGGTGGTCTCCCTACAGACGTTGAAAGCAGCCTTCACTCCATCATCAAAAGGTTGGAGAGAAACTCTTGGGGCTTAACTTGAGCAGCAAGATGATCAGGGTTTTGCGATTTCTGTATCACTCAAGAGGTATTTATTGAAACCATTTTTAGCACATACCATAGGAAAACCTGAGCAGGACCATGGGGAGGAGGCCAAAAATATTACTTTTTAAAATATTGTTGAGAAGACAGTACTAATGTTCTTCAAAATGTTAACATGTGGTAGTATTATTTATAAAATACTTAGAACCTCTTGGAATAGTGGCTGTGAATGTGGAGGTATTGACAGACATTCAGACTTCACTTTCTTTTTACTAGTGGTCTTTGAGTTTCCTGTCTTATTTTAAAAGCCCTACTTCTCATCTCTTCAGCTCTTTCAGGTTTTACAAGTAAACTTTAATCTTTTTCTAATATATAAAGTTTTATTTTACTGCAGTCAGGTCTTTCACATCGCTAAAATTAATTTCTGATAGATATATTTTGTATATTTGAAATGAGGATCTAATTTTATTTTCTTCTACACATGAACCATCAGTTATGGTGGTTTACTTCATTTACTAAAAATCCATTCTCTTTTCCCATTGAAAATGGACTGACTCACTATGACATGTGTATATACACATGAATAAACATAAGGATGGGCAGCATGGTTGAACAGAATAGAGAATCCAAACATATATGTGTATACATGTATATGTGTGTATATATGTACACATATATGTATTTTTGAATTTATTAAAAATTTATGTGTATTGTACATATATATTTTTTTAAATATTTTTATTTATTTCTAGGAGAGAGAGAGACAGCGCGAGCAGGGGAGGGTCAGAGAGAGAGGGAGTCACAGCCTCTGAAACAGGCTCCAGGCTCTGAGCTGGCAGTCAGCACAGAGCCCGATGCGGGACTCGAACCTACGAACTGCGAGATCAGGACCTAAGTGAAAGTCGGACGCTTAACCGACTAAGCCACTCAGGCGCCCCTGTACATATATATTTTTAATATCCTTTTCCAGTGACCTAATTTGGAAAGGTTTCACTCATTATTTTTTTGAAGATGTATGTATTCTTGCATAGTTTTAAAATATTGTTTTGTAAAGTTCCAGAATGATACAATTGAGATTCCAAATTATCGTCACATTTTTAGAAATTTTTAAAAAATGTTTTATTTATTTCTGAGAGACAGAGAGAAAGAGAGAGACAGCGTGAGCAGGGGAGGGTCAGAGAGAGGGAGATACAGAATCTGAAATAGGCTCCAGTCTCTGAGCTGGCTGTCAGCACAGAGCCCGACATGGGGCTCGAACCCATGAACCGTGAGATCATGACCTGAGCCGAAGTTGGACGCTTAACTGACTGAGCCACCCAGGCACCCCCAAATTGTCATGACATTTATAATTTTTTAAATTTGAAGGTTTCCAGAGAGTCTCCTTTATTAGGCCTTTTTATTAAACTTTTTATAAAGTTTATAATTTCTTTAGGTCTATACCTTTCTTATTATATTTATAACCAAGTATAGTTAAATCAGGTTTCTACCATTTCCATTTGCAATTAGTTTCTAAAATAGAGAAAAGTAATTGATCTTTATATATTTGTGTTATATAACCATCTTATCAAATTTCTTATGAACTCAAACCATGTTAGTACAATGTCAGGTTTCTTAGATGTACGTACAACCCTGTAATCATCAAATAAAGATTTTTTATTTCTTCCTTTCTAATATTTAAGCCACATATTTATTTTTCTTATTATATTAGTTAGATTCTCTATAGAGTGTTGAATTACAATAATGTTACTACCCAGGATCCCTTTTTATTTTCTGGTTTCATAAGAATAACCAGTTTTTCGCCATTCAGCCTGATGTTTTGGCAAATAATTTTTTGTGTGTGTAAGTTTTTTTTTTTCTATTCATGTTTTACTAAGAGTTTTGCTGATGAATTCCAGCAAATGCTTGCTTATTATTTACTTATATAATTATATCATTTTTATCACTTAATTTGACATAAAAATATGCTGGAATTGTTCATGAAGATCCATACTTGCATCTTTGAAATTAACCTTATTTAGTCATAGCTTACTTTTCTTTTAGGCCACTGTTGGAAACAACTTTCTAAGATAATGTTTTAATTAAAATTTATGCATCCGAATTCATTAATGATTTTGGTTTATAATTTCCATTTTGTGCTAGTTTAGGTTTTTCTGTGTGGACTATGCTGACTTCTTAAAAATAAGTTGTCTGCAGTCTGTAATTATTAAACTAACATAATTGATGTGTCCCTGATTGTTAGGTAGAACTTCAAGCATACAACTGTGCAGCCATGGTGACTTTTTAAAAAGTAGACTTCCAATTTAATTTGTTTGGTCACTTCCATTCCCTTTCTCACCCCTGCTCAAATTTGATAACTTCTATGTTCTAGGAAATCACCCATTGTCTTGTAATTTCCAAATGTATTATTTCTATATAATGTGGCATATATTTATTTTTCTTTTAATCACATTTGCCAAAGGTTTTTGCCTATTTTATTCATTATTTTAAAGAACTAGTTCTTGTTTTCACTTATCCTTCTTTCATCTATTATTTAAAAAATATATTTTTCTTTCTCTTACATTGGCTCCTTAGGATGGCCTGGACTGTAATGAGGTGAGTGAGGTAGTCTCCTTGGACACAAAATTAAGGGATGCCAAAAATTTAGTAGATAAGCTGAACTTTAGTTGAAGGCATTTTTTAAAAATTGAAAGTTAATACAAAAAGCCCATAACAGATCAAAATTTTAAATAAAGACAACATCAGTAGTACTGATTTTTTCTTTTGCCTTAGGCTCTGACATGGCTCACCACAGTGCTGCTTCTTAGTTCATTTATTTTCATGCTTGAAGAGAGCCTTTCAGAGTGTGGAAATTGTAGACTAGTCTATGTTCTCTAGGTCTGTGAAACCCCTCTTTAGTCATGTTTGATGAACTGTGTTATACTTCTTTTAATGAACATTTATTAAAAATATTTTGAGATACTACCAGTGATGGGCAGAAAGATATCCTGAAAGCCTAACTCTAGAAGAAAGACATATATACAATGTGGAATGTTTAGGTGAGTTAGAGAAAAAATTCAGAGACAAGATTATCTGGCAAATAATATTAAGCTTATAATTTTATTACTTCTGGAATAATTGCTAAAATCCACCAGGTGGTGGAGTAAAATGAGTTACAGTGAAGTTTAGCTTACATATTTTTCTTGTCAGAGATGTAATTTTACAGAGAAAACCAAATTATATATCCACATTTTTATTAGGCTATTCATGAATTTTCTATTGTATCTTTAATTTTTATAAGTCAGAATATATGTGTTGAAAGATTCAAGATTTTTTTACCACCTTATATTCTTCCAAGTACAAGGCAGTATATAAACAAACAAAAGAGAGTTCTAGTTTAAAATAGGTTCAGGAATTCAATCTACAATGAAAGAAAACAACAAAACCAGAGGCAAGCCCTCCTACAAGATGATTATCTTAAGCTATTGAGTTTTAGCAAAAAGGGAGACACTAATTTTAAGCATCTTAGCTAGAATTATTATTGTGAAAGAGGTTTAAAATTGTTATATTCTCTTTCAGACAGTTCTTGTGTGACCTATTTTCTTCTATCCAGAACATTTTCGCATCTAATAAAATTTATTTGAATGGCTGTACAACGTACGTTTCATGCATATTTTTATTCATTAACAATGAGAGCGATCTTGTGTATTAAAATATAAAAATTATTTTTTAGCATGAACTCAAACCTAGGTTCAAATGACTTGCTGTAACTCACAAAATTAGTAGGCAAACCCTCATGAGCCCTTCAAGTCCAAGTCCTACTGTTCATCATGCTCTGTCATCTACAATGTCATCAGATGATAGAGATGAATTCAGACAGTCGATTAACAACCCATATTGACATGACTAGGGTCTGCAGAATTTTAAAAAGAAGTAAAAGATTGAATGACTGTCCCTGACAAATTTATAGTCTAATGGAGTTGAGAGTACAGGAGTAATTATACTTTACTGCCAATAATAAAAACCATAACAAACAAACATTTAACAAACATATAGTCATATTTACAGACTAAAATACCATCCTATCCAAAAACTGAGTGCATATAACTCAGCTGAGGGCCTACTAGGTGCAAGATATTATATTAGGCACTAAAAGTATTTTTTTCTTAGTTGAGTTTATAATCTAATAGAATGACCTAATTTAGGTTAATTTGTTAACCCTGGGTTACAAAAGATAGCTAATATAGTAGCATATTGTATATCTAAATTAGATTTTTAAAAATAAAAATACAAGAATCTAATATTAAATTACTAACATTAAGATGATTGCCATTACCAGTAAGTGTTAGCTTTGGGATTTTTCTACTCTTGAAAAGAAATAAGGAAAATGTGGAATGTGATCTTGTTAACTATAGCAAAGCATTTTGTTGCTGTTCTTATTTATTGGAACCATTCACATTGAAGGATGAGAATTATCGAAGGATAATTAGCCATTTGTTGAATTGAAAACATTTGCACCCTCCCTCCCCCCCAAATCTCACAATTTTTAAGTTTTGTGGAGCTGCTGCTTCCTACCTCTGCTTCTCAGTCACCTCTTCCATCCCCCATTCAGAGCTGTTTTCCTCATGGTCTGGCTCTGGGCAGTTTCATCCATTCTCATACTTGGAGTGGCTCCTAAAGCAACATCTTTAAACTTGACCATTCTGAGTCTAGCATTTCTAAGTACTTTCTAAATATTTTTTCCTTGATATGCATATTCCACCTTAAACTCAACCACTGAAATCAAACTCATCATGTTGCCTTCTTAAAACCAGCATCAACTTCCAATGCTTCCATTTTTATTGGTATAATGAGAGTGCCATGTATGGTACAGTACATGTGACTGTACTCTGAAGAAAAGGACTTGGCTGAGGGTTGAACAGGAGGTGAAACTATACTGTATTCACAAGTAGTGCACTTAGATGCAGGGCTGTATCAGCCTTAAACCTTTTAACACATCCTCTACTCAGAGAGGATGCCTGGTCACACACAGGTGGCCTACGTGCTATTGGAGACCTAAGAATCACCATCTTTCTCTTTCTTCAGTCATCTATTTCAGAAACTCATGCTCTCTATTCATTATTCCCTTTTGTAGTGCCCATATATAATATGTTGTATTCACCCCTTTCTTTTCATGCACACTGCTAAGATGCCTCATTCCTGAACCATTTCAAAGACCTTTTCAGTGAACTCTCCTCTATGTTCTTTCTCTACTCCTGTGTTTCCTTCACCCTCCTTCAAATTACCTTTCTTTAAGGCAAAATTTTATCTTGTCACTTGACTGCTAAAAAATCTTCATGGGTTCCTTATTTCCTATGTTATTAAGAACAAACTCTTCAGCCTGTCATTCTTTGACATGACAAGGTCTAAAATATTTGTTATCTCTTGTGTAGTGTCTTGCATTTTGTACTCAGTAAATATTTATTTAATTATTAAATAATTATATAAATTATTATTAAAATAATTGTGAGATTTCCCACAATATGTTCCCAATGCCCACTTTCCACTTAGAACCAGCTAGTCCCTGACTTGTATCCAAGACACCACGGTGTGAATTATTTGATATTTATAGAACGAGTCCCCAGGTATCCTCTTGCTGATTCATTCACCTGGAGCATCATTATTGCCCAATCTTACCACGTCCATTTCTGGGCTCCTATCTATAGGCTTGTTCCTTTATTATGGCTCACTTTTCATTTTATTTTCTTGTCTCAAAGTCACCCTTGGCTTGTTCCTTCCACTAGATGTTAAGATGTTGAGGCTAGCAAGCGTTTTTTTTTACTTGTCTTTGCCTCCTCTTGAACCCCAAGCACAATGAGGAATACGTAGATACTTTTTAAAGTTTGTGAATTGACTCACTCTTGTTTTATCAGTTCCTGGATGCCTAAGAGAGCACATACTCCACATCATTGTCCTCCATAAAAACTTCAGAACACTCAAGCAAAGATGGGACTCATGCTTCTTTTCCTTTGAGTTTTCCAGATCCTCTGTCTGTATCTGTTCCCTCTGTATTTTCCCTCTGCTTTTCCTCTTGGTTCATGTTTGATTTCCATCCTGTGGGAAGCCAGGGATCCACTTGAATGGTCTACTTTTGGCTTCCTTGGATCTGGACTTCCTGTATCATCTTGGTGATTATGAAGGGAGCCTCGGAGAAACAGTTGTACCCCAAAATTAAGTCTGCACAGCACAGTTTGACATTTGGGTATCAGTAAGTTCTCCTCTGGGAAACATAGTTGGTTTAATGCTGACGTAATTTCTTTCTCTGTGCTTCTCTGTGTAACTGGTCTACTCACTGGGGAAAAGAAAAACTGGCAGAATTAATATGGGGACTGTTCTTACTCCCTATTCTCTTTGTGCTCTGAATTTCTTTAGCTGGCCCTGAAACTAGTCTCACTTTAATTATAAGACTCTGGTTCGGTTCTTGGACAGTTTTTCTTAAGGCCATTAGCTAGTATAAGAGACTGAATCACTTAGCTCCAAAGACAAAGGACACTTGCTCCTTCCCACCAGAAGATGTTCTTAGATGTCTTAAAACCCAGGGAAGTGTCAGTCGAGTCCCATAGAGGAAATCTCCCCCATGATAATTCATTTTTGGCTTTCTGGGAATGCACACATGAAACTGATCATCCAGTGCCCCCTGCCCCACAGTTGTTTTAGACTGTTGCTTGGAGAAACCAAGATACTCATGAGGGGAAGATCAGCCCATTGGTGACTCTCCGGGAAGTTCTCTCCATAAGCAGCGTATTCAATCTACCACATGCTACTACATGCTTTTCCTGGAATAGAGTTCCAACTTCTAACCTTTTTTCTTTCTTTTCCAATGCTGGGTAGATGTGTCCTCATGGCAATTCTGGGATGTTGGTATTGTATTAAGGATTGGTGGCCAATCCTGTTGAGGACCAAAACCCTTAGAATAAAGAAGTGGCCCTGCTCCTCCTGGTTGAACTGGGTTTTCAGCTTATAGGGGTGAGACATGTGGCAGGCTGGTCACTGCTAGGTGACTGTCTCCTGGTTGAATTTCCTAGAAACATGTAACCTGCCACAGGAAAAAAATAGAATTACCAGCAATAAAATTGAATCAGTAATTAAAAAAAAAAAAAACCCTCCCAATAAACAAAAGTCCTGGATCAGATGGCTTCACAGGCCAAATTTACCAAACATTTAAAGAAGTATTAACACCCATTCTCAAACTATACCAAAAGAATACAAGAGTAAGGAAAATTTCCAAATTCATTCTGTGAGGCCAGAATCACCCTCATACCAAAACCAGATAAAGACACCACCAAATAGAGAGAACTACAGACCAATATTGCTCTTGAATAAAGATGTGAAAATCCTCCAAAATATCAGCAGACCGAATCCAATAATATATTAAAAAATTATATACCACAATCAAGTGGGATTTATTCCCAGGATGCAAGTGTAGTCCAATATTCATAAAACAATCAACGTGATACATTACATCAATAAGAGAAAAGGTAAAAACCATATGATCATTTCAATAGATGCAAAAAAAGCATTTGACAAAGTACAACATCTATTCCGACTTCAACAAAGTAGGTCTAGAGGGAACAAAGCTCAACATAATAAAGGCCTTATGTGAAAAACCCACAGCCAATATCATAGTCAATGGTGAAAAACTGAGAACTTTTCCCCTAAGGTCAGGAACAAGACAGAGATGTCCACTCACCACTTTCATTCAACATAGTACTGGAAGTCCTAGTCACAGCAATTAGACAACATAAAGAAATAAAAGGCATCCAAATTGGTAAAGAAGAAGTAAAACCTACTATTTGCAAATGACATATATATACTATATATATAGAAAATCTGAAAGACACCACCAAAGAGCTACAGGAACTGATAAATGCATTCAGTAAAGTCGCAGGATACAAAGTCAATGTACAGAAATCTGTTGCATTCCTATGCATTAATAATGAAGCAGTGGAAAGTGAAATTAAGAAAACAATCCCATATACAATTTTACCAAAAACAATAAAATATCTAGGAATAAACTTAACCAAAGAGTTAAAAGACCTAAACTCTAAAAACAATAACACACTAACGAATGATGACACAAAGAAATGGAAAGAAATTCCATGCTCATAAATTGGAAGAAAACTATTATTTAAATGTCTGTACTACCCACAGCAATTGCAGATTTAATGCAATCCCTATCAAAATACTAACAGAATTTTTTACAGAACTAGCACAAACAATCCTAAAATTTGTATGGAACCACAAAAGATTTCAAATAGCCAAAACAATCTTGAAAAAGAAAAACAAAACTGGAGATATCACATTGCAGATTTCAAGTTATATTACAAAGCACTAATACTTAAAACAGTATGGTACTGGCATACCATAGACACATAGACACATAGACCAGTGGAATAGAACAGAAAACCCAAAAACAAAGCCACAATTGTATGATCAATTAATCTTCAACATAGGAGGAATGAATGTACAATGAAAAAAGATGGTCTCTTCAACAAATGGTGTTGGAAAAACTGGACAGCCACATGCAAGAGAATGAAATTGGACCACTTTCACCATACACAAAGATAAACTGATAATGGATTAAAGATCTAAATATGACACCTGAAATCATAAAAATCCTTGAAGAGAGCACAGAAAGTCATCTCTCTGACATTGGCTATACCAACAGTTTTTTAAGTATGTGTCCTGAGGGAAGAGAAATAAAAGCAAAAATAAACTGTTGGGACTACATCAAAATAAAGTTTCTGCACAGCAAATGAAGCAATCAACAAAACTAAAAGGCAACCTACTAATGGGAGAAGATATTTGCAAATGACATCTGATAAAGGTTTAGTATCCAAAATATATAAAGAACTGATACAACTCAGTACCCCAAAACAAATAATCACATTAAAAACAGGCAGAAGACATGAATAGACATTTCTCCAAAGAAAATATCCAAAAGGCCAACTGACACATGAATGGATGCTCAGCATCACTCATCATCAGGGAAATGCAAATCAAACTACAACACCTCAAACTTGTCAGAATGGCTAAAATAAAAATTGCACCACAGGGCATTTATCAAAAAAATACAAAAACACTAATTCAGAGGGATACATGCACCTCTATGTTTATTGCAGCATTATTTACAATAACCAAACTATGGAAGCAGCCAAAGTGTCCATTGACTGATGAGTGGATAAAGTAGAGGTGCTATGTGTGTATATATATGTGTGTGTATATATATATCTACAATGGAATACTATTCAGCCTACAGAAAAGATATGAAGTCTTGTCATTTACAACAACATGGATAGAGCTAGAGAATATAATGCTATGTGAAATAAATCAGTCAGAGAAAGACAAATACCATATGATTTCACTTACATGTGTAATTTAAGAAACAAAAGAAATGAACAATGTAAAAAAGACACAAAATGAGGAACAGACTTAACTATAGAGAACTGATGGCTACCAAAAAGGAGGGCAGCAGAGGGATGGGGGAAATAGGGGATGGGGATTAAAGAGTACACTATCATGATGAAAAATATAAAAGACCAAAAAGAAGTTTGTTAATTGAAAGCCATCACTCGGTTTTAAATATGTATAAAAGACAAATTAACTAGACATTCAACTTTTCAGAAGAGAGGCACCATTACTTGAAAACAGAAGAGAAAAATGATTATCTGAAAGACTGTTGTATTTAAATTTTTATTTCTTATTGCAACTAGAACACAGAACAAATTTTCATATCATTGGGTTAATATGTAGAACATGTGATTGAAATAACTCATTGCACTTTTTTTTCTTTTCTTTCTTTTTTTTTTTTTTGGTAGAGAGATGCTGAATTCCAGGAGCATGAAAAGATTCTTTCTCCAGATTTTCTTTCAATTGCTCAAATCACAGAAATGCTAACAGAAGATGTAGATGGAGTTCAACAGTAAGCACTTCAATATTACAACTAAACCAAATCTAAAACAGTTATACTTCTGCATCTATAAATGATCATGATATGCTATTAGATATTTTACACTTTTTAAAAAAGAGTTGTTATATCATGCAAATATATGTGCTCTGGAGATTTATATATAAATATCTCCATCCAGAGTCTGGAACATGAAAATTCTCAAACAACTGACTTTTTACGCTACTCAGCTATCTTCTTTATGGGAGAAATGCGTTTCAGATCAATGTGTTAGTGTTAACAGAGAGTGGGGATTTATTATATTATTATATTATAAAGGCAACCTTTAATATATGCTGTCTGTTGCTGCTTTTCTTTTTCATTCATAAAACTATCAATATGCATAATAACCTTTAGGTCTTCTGTCTCATCATGACAAGAATAAATTGTAGTTTTTGTAATATTAGTAATTAACACATTTTAATATTTTGGAAATCCTGAGTATTAGACATCTACCTATGATTTTTATCAGATATGAAGCTATACTAAACATTCTGATTTCATACACTTTGCCTAAAAATTTGAATAAAACTGAATATGGGCAACAATTCTAATATATGTACATCTCATTCTTAAGGCCATTGATTTCTGTAGCAAATTATTTGCTTAGGACTCTAGTCAGATATATCTAACACACAAGTTCTTAAAACATGTTTTGAGCAATCAGTCATTTTAAAAGTTATGTTGCTCTAATAATGGAAGCCTGATTGACTATAATGTGTAGAGAGTGGAAATGATGTGATGTTCTGGATTGTAATGTCTCATGTAAGATTTCTTCAGGCCTGTTGTCCAGATGTTAGCAGAGTATTGTGCACCATAATGGACAAATAGAAAATGACTCTGTCAGTGACTGTCATTTGCAAATCTTACAAATATTGTGAAAGAGAGGTGATTTACTACTGAGAAGGAAATAGGACAGATGTACTGGCTGGAAGAGAAATCTGAGAGGGGAAGGCATATTAAGAGCAGGCAAATGACACTGACCAGCCTTTTCCCAAGTACCCTTCACCTTCAGGGCCTGCAAATCCTGCTAGAAATCCTGGTGATCTGTGATTTGGCCATACCGCCTACTATCTCTATAAGTATTAGCCAGTCAATTAAAAATTTCACAGATATTTAAACAAGTATCTCATGATGATTTTACCAGTTTTATAGAAATGAATACCCATTGGGAATTCTGATTTTTAGTGTCAGAACTGATTAGTAAACTGCATTCATTGTATTGGTATCACTGAGTGCTTAGTAAGTAAAATATTATTTTCCATTTCCATCTCAAATGTTGGTCATCGAAATGCAAAACATAGGTTATTTAATACTGGGCAAAATAATATATGCAAATGACAGATATTTAATATATTTTACAATTCGTTTGTATTAAATATTAAAAGATCTTATGTTAAATGAAATTAATATTAAATAAAAGATATTGCAAACAAATTCTTTTTAGACTTATTTTTTACCAAATCTTAATTTGTACTGCATCACCTACCTTGTGTGACAATCTTGTTTTTTTCTTTTTTTCCACTTACTGGTTCTGTGTGTTGTTAAATATTTAAACTTTAAAAGTATTTTTGGTCTTCAAGAGGTGACATCTAGGATAAAGGAAATGATACAGAGGGTGATACAGAAGTTAGTAGTATAGAAACAACTAGGTTCAATGCAGGTTGACCTTTTAGATTTTCTCATTAATAAAATTCACCTGAAGTAATCTCAGATTTTAGGATATCAATTTTGGATAAATGACAGTGTTATGTCAGGAGCCAATTCTTAGCAAAGTAATTTTCTTTACATTATTTTTATAACAGTAATCCTGAAATATTTGCAGTCAGTCATTCATTTCCCATTTAAAATAGCATTATTATAAATGAGGATTATATACCTTTCAAAATGACAGAAATATAATTTAGGTATCCTGTCACCAAGTGACAGAAGTATGCCAAAATCATAGAGTCTACAAAGCTATAAACCTATTTAAATAAATTACAGGAAATCAGCACATTCTCTTACCTTTTAAAATTAAAAATTGTGTTTCATGAAAGCAGCCAACCAAATGAAACATTATAGTATCATTAAAACATATTTCTAGAGTACACTTCAAGCGAAGTTAAATGTCTGCACACATTTCTCATGATCTCCTATTATCAATCGTTCATGCTTTTAATGTAACCCTGATTTTTTTTACAGATCCACCCAAATCCTTTCTGAAAAAAAGGATAAGGACTAAATTGAAAATAACTATTTAAACACAGAAATAACCCTGAGAGATCTTTTAATACCCTTTCCATAACTGGGCCTCCATGAGCTGTTCAGCTCATGCCTTAAGGCTTATTTCTGCATGTCATCATATTTAAAAAAATAACATGCACTCCAATTTCAAGAGCATGTAGGAATAATGTAATACTTTCACTGGAATTCTTGGTGAGACAAAGTAGATAGTTACATCACCTATCACGATAGCACAATTTCCTAAATCCCTGTTAAGCATCTTTCTCTTTTCCTGTAGTCTGTAATGCCACAACTATAGCCATCTCTCCCCACTCCCACGTCCCATCTCTTCTTATCCCCAGAGGAAAAACTTACAAATTTGCCAGTAAAATGCATGGAAACTTTGCATTCAGACTGTGGCAGCATCTTGCTCCAAATGCTTCCCTGCAGAATCTTCTTTGGGGTGAAATGACTTAACAACAAATAGAAATGGTCAATATTCAGCCCTGCAATTCAAGTTGAAGGTTAAGATTCAAATGGTACTAGGGGAAGTGGTGGAAGGGGGATGAGGGAGAACAAAGATAGAGGGATGTCAAAGAAGTTTCCCTAAGATATTCTTAGACAAATGGTTGCCTTCATTTACATACAGTAAAACACTGAAAAAATGAAAAGCAAGAAAACATACATAACTATTTAGGTCAAATGTTTAATCTTTAAAAAACATAGTGTGGTGATGGCAGATGAAGAGTATAGTTAGAAGGAAGACAAACAGTTGGAAACAGAAAAAAATGATATATATGTAAAATATATATAACAGAACTTTCAAAGATAGATTGACTCCAGAGTTGATTGGCTCAAGGCCTCTTAGTATCATCAAGAAATGAGTATAATTTTAGGACTGATTCTTCTTATGATTATAAGATGGCTATCAGTAGCAATCAAACATACTTATTTACATTTTTGTATTTTTCTTCCACAGAAGAAAGTGAACCTCACCCTTAGTTATGAATTCAAACACTTTTAGGAGAGTGTTTACCAAAGACCAGTAGTTCATCATAGGGAATACCATATGCTGAATGCCATTATATAGCATTATGGAAAGGGGGTGAGAGTATCATAATTGGTTCAGAAGAATCAGAACTCACTTTTGGCATTGAGGTCTACTTCAATACCACTATGGATGAGATGGATGTTAGTGAGTTAAACACAACACCAGCTTAGGTCTACTTTGATACCACTATGGATGAGATGGATGTTAGTGAGTTAAACACAACACCAGCTTCATTTGTTCCCAAACTTGTTTAATCCTGCTGTATTTATCATTCTGATCATAAAATCTATTTCAGTACTATGAATAATAAAGACTTCCTTTTTTTTGAAAATGGCAGTATAAAGTTGTCACACACCCACACATGCTCCCTCAGAAATCACATATAAGCAATGAGGAAATATCAATCCCTTCTTTGTCCGAACAAGGAGAATGCTGTAAATCCAAACTACAAAATGTAAGGATGATTGCCAGGAGCATTATAGATCAAGCAGAAGTGGAGGAGAAAGAACAATAAGGCTATGCATAGTTGAAGATCTTAGAATGAGCTAAAAAAGATAAGTATTCTGCTAAACCAGAAGAAAACCCTGAAGTGCCATTTCAAGAACCCTTGTTTGCAACAGCAGGCCCAGGAGGCACAGGCTTGGAACAGATAATCAACATATTTACAAGAAATTGATTGTTTATGTGATGGTAATGAGAACCTATCCTACTATTTTTGTTCTTTTAACCCACTAATTGAAAAAACAGTAATAACCTGGAATAATTGACACGAACTTATTTTGTACAGAAAATAGCCTGTCACATGGCCAGCTTTGAGTACAAAATAAGGAATATGTATACAAAGACATTTAAAAAATGAAGAATGGGGGTAGGGGGGAACCTGGCAGGCAAAGAAAATACAAATGAATGTGTTTCTGGGTAGTTCAGTCAGTTGTGTCTGACTCCTGATTTCAGCACAGGTCATGATCTCATGGTTCATGAGTTCGAGACCCACTTCAGGCTTCTGCCCTGACAGCTGCGGAGACTGCTTGGGATTCTATGTCTCCCTCTCTTTTTGCCCTTCCCCCACATTCTCTCTCTCTCTGTCTCTCAAAATAAATAAATATTAAATAACAAAACAACAATTATTTAATAATATAGTTCCAGAAAATTGTCAGAAATAAATTTGATTGTATGAATGGAAAAAGGAATTTTTGAGAAAAAAAATGCTAGTAAAGTTACTGTATTTGGAAGAGGAAGAGGAAGAAGAGGAGGGAGGTGAGGAGAAGAACTGAAAGAATAGAGGAAGTGGAGGAAGAAGACCAAAAAGAGTGCTCATGCTTGTTTTCTTCATCTGCTTCTCTTCTTCCCTCTCTTGTTTCCATGATTTTTTTTTCCTATTTCCCTTTTAAATGTCATTTTATACTTAGGATTTTGATATAACTTAGGGATATTTTTAAATTAAGGGCATTGTAGAATTTTAATTCAAGAAAAATAGCTGTGTTTTCAAAACTTAGAAAAGAAACTGTTCTCTAATCTGATTTTAATATCTGGGTTTTTCTTTTCATTACAGAAAATTGAAAGCATTTTTGAATTTCAAAAACCTTCAAACCTGTTTAAAGGAAGCCATTCTGCTAGATTATTATGTATCTGGATTTTTGTGGGCTAGAGGAATGGACTTTTCTGTTATTCAATATTCAAAATTTATGACTTTACTAGATACGTTACTTCATAATCTTAGAAGTAAGTACATTATTTTTTTCTTTTAAGAAAAAATTTAGTCCACTGTCTAATGTTCTTAAGTAAAAGTTCCTAATTTTATTGTAATTCCTTTAATGAAAATTAAGGGTTTTTTTTCCAGGTAGATCAAAGATAGAGTTCATACCTCATTAAATTGTAAAATTTCAAATAGTATTAAACAATGGTAAAGTTCTTTTAATTAACTTGCCAAAGATATGTTAACTTCATTTAAAAATCTTGTCAATGCCATCTATCTCCCAAATGTTAAATAGTTCACATTTATTTAGGTATTTTTTAATTGTTTGAGCTGTTTTCATTTCATCTCACCTACAGGTATTACTGTATATCTGAGAATGATTAATGAGAAGAGGTACTTTAGTCAATATCCAGAGCCTATTAAATAGACATTCCTCATATACACTTAGATTTTGTGACTTTTTTTTACATAACATTAGAATGAGTTACTGGAGGAAATTTGGAAATTCTTCCTTAGAGCACTTTTAAATGTTATAAATTTTGTTTCAGAATAAATAGAATTGCTTCTTGGAAGGAAGAAAAGAAGGAAATCTATCACTGATATATTGCCAACTCTGTGTGCTAGGCACTATGTGTGATTCTAATTTTTAACATGCATTATTGAATCTCAGAGCAACTCCTGCATGGGAAGTATTCTAACCACTATCTCAGAGCTGAGCAAGTAGTCCACAGAACAGGGTTGCCAGCTGTGAAGTGGCAAAACTTCAGTATAATGAAAAGGCCATGAGCACTATAAACATGAAGGTATTTGTGTCTCAATTGAAAGAAATGCTTATGTCAGTTGATAGTTCCTTCCTTCCTTCCTTCCTTCCTTCCTTCCTCCCTCCCTCCCTCCCTTCCTTCCTTCCTTCTTTCCCTCCTTCCTTCTTTCATCCCTTCCTTCCTTCCTTTTTTAAAACTTTTTTCTTTTTGGTTGTTTGCTTGTTTTTAGTTCTTTTTTTAAAATTGGGCAGGTCCAAGACCTTGCTCCCCCTAAAGAATTCTCACCATCACTGTAGCAAAATACATGGATGCCTTTTTGTGGTCACATCTGTGTATCAGTTTCTAGGAGGAGAAATTTTAAGTGAATTAGCAAAACTAATAAAGAAGCCACTCCTGCCCTATGTACCCTTCCTGCTCTTAGTCAACCTTACAAGAGAAGAGTTAGTAGTTCTTGTATGTGAGAAAAAGAGAACATTATTTTCCTTCCCTTCAAGTGGGAGAATTTTATCTTTGCTTATACATAAGTATATAGTGACACATTACAGATAAATAACAGTAACAATGGAAGAAAAATATAATTATACTTGATAATGAAAAATAATTGTATGATATTAACTGACTGATCAGACAGACTATGGCTGTTTTTTTTCCTCGTAAACAAAGAACAGATATTTATAGAATCTTTGAGTACTATATATGTCTAAATAATAATCTTTCAACTCTGTTGCCAGAATTACTTGGCAAACAAGGAGCCATGTAAATCTCAACTTGCATGAAAAATAATAAATAGATGCCGATAATAAGATGAAATGGATATTTAGATTATATATTTAAGACTTCAAAACAGGTATTATCAAAGTGCTTAAATGAACAATCGTGAACATCCTTGAAATAAGTGTTAAAAAGAATCATGAAAGACATGGAAGATATAAAGAAGAAACAAATGGAAATTTTAGAATGAAATTATACAATAACCAAAATCAAAATCTCATTAGGTAGAAATAATAGAATGAAGAGAAGACAAAGGAAAAATTAGTGAACTTGAATAGAGAGTGATAACAGACTGAATCACTAAACAAAAAAGAGGAAAAAAGATTGGCAAACAAATAAAACCTCAGAGACTTGTGGTACAAAGTTCTAATGTAGAGTCCTGGGAGGACCGGAGAAAGAGGAATTTGCTAAACAAACATTTGAAGAAATAATGGCTGAAAACTTCCCAAAATTGGCAAAAGGCATAAGCTGATACATTCAAGAGGTTGACTAGACTACAAACAGGCTAACCCGAAGGAAAAACACCATCAACCAACTGGGCCTAACTGACATTGATAGAACAGTCTACTTCCAAACAGTGTAATAGTCATTGTTTTCAAATGCACACGGAGTATTCATCGAGGTGGACCATGTCCTAGGCCATACAACAGCCTTCAATTTAAAAATAACTGAAATTATACAAATATCTTCTCTGATCATAATAGTATTAAACAAGAAATTACTAAGAGAAATATATCAGGAAAGTCTTCAAACATATCAAACAATAGAATTCTAAAAGTATGTGGGTCATATATCTCAACAGATATTAGAAAAGGCGCTTAAGTAAGTGAAAATAAAACATGAAAGTTGATGTGGTACAGCTAAGTCCATGATAAGAGGGAAGCTTATATTACTAAAAGCTAGAAAAAAGTATAAAATTAACAATCTAAACTTAAACCTTAGAGAGCCAGTTTTAAAAAATAAGCAGAAATCAAGCAGCAAAGAAAGACAAAATAACAGAAATCAATGAAATTGGAAAAATAGACAAAATCAAATGAAATAAAAATCTGGATATTTGAAAACATCAATAAAATTGATAAACATGAAGAAAAACTTGTCTCCGAAAACAAAAAGAGATAGAAGGTACAGATTATCATCACCAGGTATTAAAAAAAATTGGGATATCACTATAGACTCTGCAGACATTAGGAGAATACTACTTTTATACATAAATCAGAAAACAAAGAGGAAATGAACCAAGTCCCCCAAAACTGCAAGCCAGCAAAACTCATGCAAGATGAAATTGATAACATGATAGCCTTAGAACTATATAAGACATTGAGGGGCGCCTGGGTGGCTTAGTCGGTTAAGCGTCCGACTTTCGCTTAGGTCATGATCTCGCTGTTCGTGGGTTCGAGCCCCCCGTCGGGCTCTGTGCTGACTGCCAGCTCGGAGCCTGGAGCCTATTTCAGAGTCTGTGTCTCCCTCTCTCTCTGACCCTCCCCTGCTCACGCTGTCTCTCTCTCTCCTAGAAATAAATAAAAATATTTTTTAAAAAAAGAACTATATAAGACATTGAATTATTTGTTGCTCAAAACTTCTAGTAAAAATCTGCAGGTCTAGATATTTTCACTAGAAAGTCCTATCAAATATTTAATGAATAAATACCACCAATTGTACGTAATCCCTTCCAGCAATAATTGAAAAAGTTCTTCCTACCTCATTTTATGAGGCTAGAATTATCTTCATACCCAAACCTGACAAAGGTAGTATGAAAAGAGAGAGAGGGAAAGAAGATGAAGGAGGAGGAGAAGCAGGAAGGGGTGGGGGTGGGGAGTAGGAGGGGAAGAACAGCAACAACAGCAAGAGGAGGAGGGGAAGAGAAACCACAGACCAATATCTTTCATGAACATGCAAAAAACATTTTTTCAACAAAATATTGTCAAAGTAACATATAAAATGAATCAAGTTACATACAAAAAAATAACACGACCTGCTGGAGTTTATCCCAGAAATTCACTGGTGTTTCAGCAGTTGAAAATTTCATCAATTTAAATAAAAGAAGAAAAGCTACACGGGATCATATAAATAGATACAGAGAAAACACTTGGCTAAACACAACATCCATTCCTTATTTTACAAAAGTCAGAAAACTAAGAAAAGAAATGATACTCTTCAATGTCACAAATGACATCTACAAAATACCTAAACCTATCATTATACTTAGTAGTAAAAGACAGATGCTTTCCCCAAAAGATCAGGGTCAAGACAAGAATGTCTACTCTCACTACTCCTATTCAACATAGGACTGAAAGTCTTAGCAATAATATCAATGGGGTAGAAAAAGAAATAAAATACATGCAGATTTGGAAGGAAGAAATAACAGTCCCTGTTCTCAGATGAAAGGATTATCTATAATAAAAAATTACACAGAATAAAAAAAAAAAACCTTAGAACCAGTAAGTTTGCAGGAATAAGGTGAAAACACAAAAAGCCAATTGTATTTCAGTTTATTAGTCATATACATTGTGTACCAAAATTTTCATAAATAGTATTATTTACAATAAGCTCAAAAATAAAAGAAATACTTAAGTATAAATCTAACAAAAAATGTACAAGATCTGTATGCTAAAAACTACAAAATAATGATGAACGAAATAAAAGAAAACCTAAATAAATGAAAAACATACTGTGTTGTTGGATTAGAAGTTTTCACATGGTAAAGATGTCAGTTCTTCCCAAATTGATCTGTGTATTTAATGCAATATCAATCCAAATCTCAGCAGGATATTTTCTAGACATACCCAAGCTGATTTTTAAATTTACATGGAATGGCTAAGGACTCAGAATAGCTAAAACACCTTTGAAAAATAAGCATAAAGCTGCATAAATCATACTACCCAATTTTACGACTTATTATAAAGTTAAAATAATAAAGTCAATGTTGAATGAGTGAAGATGACAAAAGGAACAGAAGACAGAATGCCAAATTCACTGACACAAAAAAGGTCGTCTGATGTTTTTGATAAATATGCAAAAGCAATTCAACTGAACAAGGTATCCTTTTCAACAAATATTGGAACAACTATACTAAAAAAAATATACACATCAGCCTAAACGCTTTACTTGATACAATTAGCTCTAATTAGATTTTTTAGAGGAAAAGTAGGAGAAAATATTCATGGCCTGGTGTTTTACAAAGAGTTCTTAGCCATAACCCCCAAAACATGATCTATACAGGAAAAAATTGATAAATTAGATTTCATCAAATTTTAAATCTTTTGTTTTATGTATGTCACTATTAAAGGAATGAAAAGCTACACACAGAAAAAAGTCTGCAAATCATGTATTTGACAAAAGACTTGCTTCTATAACATGTAAAGAACTTTCAAAACAACAATATGAAAACAATCCTACTAAAAATAGGCAAAGCTATGAAAACCCATAAGTCCTATCAACCACGAGGAAAACACTAGACAAACCCAAACTGAGGAACATTGTACAAACTATCTGAC